AATTGTGTAAAGGAAGCTACAGTCATTATGGAGATTATTGCCTATAGGTGAAGTTAAACAGGCTTTAAGCTTGATGAATAGTATTTCCACAGTAAGATCCTTAACATTCGCAATAAATTTTAAATTTAAAGACAATTGTAAATGGGGAAACATTTAGCAGAATGTAAAAACTTTTTGAAAAATCTGAGCTTCGTTTAAAACTTTTCGAATGATCAACTGAGGTGAGAGAACAAAATAGCGTGTGGCAATTTCTGGCATAAATTTTGCATGTAATGAAATTTATTCGATATTTAAGATAATTTCTACAATATTCTTTATTTATTTATTTTTTTTTTTTTTATTTATTTTTTTTTTTCATGCACAGTTATTTGTTTTCTGTGTTTGTAAAAATTAAAACATTTAATTATAATTTGGTATTTTGTTTTATGGAATAAAGCGCGAGCTCTTTGTTAATATTTTGGTAGCTAATATTTAATCAAAATTTTATTTAGGTTGATAAATTACAATTTAATATATATTGCCAAAAACATCAGATTATGTTGCATAACATGAATTTTTTATAAATTCTTAAAATCTGTAAATATTAAGTTTTTTAGTACTGCATTCAAAAATATATTTTTTTGCACATGGATCATATGCATAATTACAAAATATAACTTGAAGTTGGAATATTTCAATTGTTTGTTTTCTATATACAAATGCGTTGTTTTTATCCATTTAACATTTCATCAGTAACTTCTTAACACATTAAATATTGCATTGGTCCCTAGGAAACCAATATTAAACCAAGCAAAATAGACTTGCTGTTTAATATATTAGATATTATGAAAACATAACATTAGTTTAAACCATTGTAAAACAATTTAATTATGTAATTAAATGCACATAAGCCATTTTTGACTCTTATATAACAATGGTATAATAAATTGAATGATGTTAAGCTATTAAATTTGCTTGGAAAATAACAATTATAAACACTTTTTATATAGTTATTCTGCTACTAGGCATAATTATTAAAAATGAAAAAAAAAAGTGCAGTTTCTAAATCAGTTTTGATATGAAGAAAAAACAATGATGATACATCATGTAATGGTAACTTCCTCCGAAGATTCTACGAGCAGAGTAAACTGAGAAACCTTCTATAAAATGAACATAAAAGTTCTTACAAGTAAAATTATTATCATCTTTCATGATTAATATTTTCACATGATTAGTATTCATTCGCAGTCGAGTGGATAAGACTAAGGTGCACTGGCAGTAGTTTGAACGCTGGTAGACAGGCTAGCTTTTTAGGATATTTCTTGTGTGTCACATGAAACAGAAGTCGTTTTCTTATAATATACTTCATGAAAGTCTTCTTCACTCAAAAGATACTGTTTTCATGATTTGCAAAAATCAGTTAAGCAAATAAGAAAACATTCTCATTTTCTACCATCCGAATAGAACTCCGGGGGGGGGGGAATTGTACGATCTCTTATCAACATAAATATTTTTATGCATGTTCTGGTTTAAGAAACAAAAAAAATTTATTTATCAAAAACAAACAAAAAATTTAGTTTTTCTTATTTATATTTATACTGAAAAACTACATAATTATGAAAATTCATCACACTTCCACGATCAGAAATGATAGCAAATTATAGGCACATAGGAAATAGATGTGCAGGGCTATAGTATAAAATTTCTTGCTGCTTACAAAAAAAACAAAAAAAAAAAAAAAAAAAATAGAGTCATCTAATGGTGGTAGGTTTTATTGGAATATTTTATTTATACAGAAAAAGAAAATGCATGGGATTTCAAGAAAATTTGTTTAGAATTAGAGAATTAGAAAATTTGTTTAGAACTAGGGATTACTATATGACATCCGAAATCATAATCATTTACAGCAATCATAAGTAAATGAAATTAAAATTGCAGATTAAATATTCTGTGATTTCCAAATATGTATAATTACAAACTCTGAAGACTACTTAAGGTGATAAATTAAAGCATATTATTCAGAAAAGTCCTGACAATAAAAGAAAATAATGTACATACCAACACATATAGTGTAAAATTATCCACGGATTTATCATGAATAAAACTTACTTGAATGTGCTAATGCTGCATTTTTGCAAGACGTAAAAAATTACATCTTTATATAACACAATGAAATGAAACAGAATTATTTAGATACAGAATAATGCATAATCTATTATTTTTTTTTCTTTTGGGAATTACTGGGTCAGCTGAAATTTTATGAGCTATCCCATACCCTTTTAATATGTAAATTCTCTGAATAATCACTCCATTTTATATGTTTCAGTAAGCGCTTTTGTTAATATAGTTTTGCTTACAGAAAAATACACAAAAGAGAGATTTCTACGATCAGGTTGTTTAAATAAAACACATTCTTAAAATATTTTCTTTATCGAATTTTATGTACATACAATACATGAAATAATAAGAAACCTAAATATCACCAAACATTTTCAAAAACACAAACAGCCAAGAAATTTTACAATACAGTAATGTTTATCAATTATTACTTTATTTAAAAGGGTATTTAGAAAATCGAAAAGTTATTCGGTATCGGGATAGCAAGTTGAGTAGAATTTACAGTTGTATTTGTTTTAGAAATTGAAATTTAAATTAATCCCAATAAATATTGTACATTACTTCTCGCCTCTACGGTAAATTAAATATTAAATCACATCAGCTTCCTCAAAATAATAAGCGAAACAAATGATCTATCTACTACGAAAGAAGAACGAACAAGTTACCATAACATTAACAAGCACATTCTGGTATACCAGTTTTGCACTAAAATTGCGTTTGGCGAAAGAGAAATGATGCCAAGGTGCTCTCTGATTGGTTAAATTTCTTCAGTTCCCGGCGGGTTTTAGCCGCCCGTGCCCTTCGGCGGCACTTAAAAGTTGGTACTTTTCCGTTTTGCCGGCGCAGGCGATAAAGTCGCCAGTAATGATACAACTGACGCCAAACAGAATATTCTCGCTGGTAGCCTTTTATGCCTTACTTTCAAAATAAGTCGCAGCCATTTATTATCAGATTGATTGTTTCTTTCAATGCAGACAATTACATAGATTTTTTTTATTAGATAGTTCAGTTTTATGCCCTAAGACCTAATTAGGTCAATTAGGATGCAATCACTCCGCTCATCCGAAGGCGAAAATATAGGAAAGGCAAAATTAAGGGTTAAATTCATCCATTCTAATGAGAATGCACTAGCGAACTAAAGCACTTACATAATTTCTGAGTAAGCTATTCGTATGAATTGAAATAATTTTTGCATTTAAACTTGCATTCCAAATTAAGATTTAAGTTGAAATTAATGTAGACAATTACTGAGAGAATTAGTTTACGTGTGAGATGAGATCACTTGGGGTCACGTGATATGAACCGGCGCATCAGGATGTTGTACGATGAAAGCATAGTAAATTCTTAAATTAATGTCTTTTTACAAATTTATTGGCTTTTTTATAAAATTTTAAACAACATTAAAATGTTCATACCTTCAAAATATTTTTAGAACTAACATTTGTCAACACTTTTTATGTGTATGTTGCGTGTTTTCGTCAATAAAGCGAGATTTGCGCCGGCGAAACAGAAAAGTACCAAAAGTTGTAAGTGACAGGTTAACTATCGCGCATGCTGGCTCTCGAAAGCCGGCGTAAACAAGAAATCCGCCTCAGAAATCTAATCGCTAGGGAATCAAAGATATCAACGTGGCCTTCAAGTAGGCAGAACACGCTCTGATTTCACCTTCCAAAACTTTCCCTTAAAAACTAACTTCTTTCTACCTCATTTGAATACACGCGCGCTAGTCAGTTTGCATTCTGGCAAGAAAGCATGAGCTGCTCAAACATAAAATAACTGTTAAGTAAATTAAATAAATCCCCACAAAGGTTCTAAACTGAATAGTCAACGTTATATAAAAGAAGAATTTAAAAAATAAGTATCAAATATGTGGAGAGGGGGAAGAAAAACAGGGATAGGGCATTCGAATTTTCGAATCCCATGAATCCATGAGAAATCAAATTTTCGAGGTTTTTTTCTCACTGGAATCTGAATTTGTGTTAACTCTTGAAATAATAACCCATATCACAGTTACTTTAATTCTCAGAGATTCTAAAATGTTTTAAAACAATTAGATTTTAATCAAAGTTTTTTTTTTTTTTTTTTTTTTTTTTTTTTTTCTTTTAGAAGATGAAAGGCTTATAAGTATGTACTGTATTTATTAAATTTCATTTGAGTCTTCTAAATAAACATAAATGCGTTGTTAAAAATTTCATTCTTAAATTTATTTTAGTAGCGGATTTCAGATTTTGGTTTAATAAAAACTTTAATATTTAGCAAAAATGTTTTTCTTTCTTCTTATTTTTTTTCATATAAAAGAATAACATTATTTATTACATAAATGTTTAAGACAAAGTGTCCGAATACTTGTGCGAGTACATTTTCAGAATTTTTTTTTTTTTTTTTTTTTTTTTTTTGTATACATTATTTTTATTTGTAATAAAAACGTTTTGAATAAATTTTTCATAACAAGGAGGTTTTAGGAAAGATGATCAATAGTATATGTGAAAGAAAACTAAAGTCATTTCGCTAATATTTACTAACAGATATTTGCAAATGAAACTGAAAAACACAAGACTCCGAAAACAAATGGAAGCCACGGTATATATTTCTAAAATCAAAAAGCTGACGACAAAAATGAAAATATGATACATTCTGGGTAAAAATAAGTATAGTTAATCTGCATATAAAATTACTTACATGAATCTCAAATTAAAGTGCAAATTTTTTTTTAATTTCTAGAACAAACGTAATTGGCCTGCACATTAAAAGAATTATATCTTAAATTTAGAAACAAAATGATCAGTTCAACCACGGTAGCGCCGTACGAGACCCTTATTGTGCTAAGAATAGAGGGGAGGGGGGTTCGCTAGCACTGAGGGAGGGCTCCTCGTAAGCGCGGGAGTTCTTTCTAATTAGAGCCAGTCGGTGCCCCGGATGTTGGGTGTGGCCGGGTAATCAATATGGCTGTGGTGTCAAGGTCGCTCAGCGAGGAACTCTTCACCGCATCGATGGACGTCCAGCCAAGGTAAGAAAACCTCTCCGTGGTCTTCTGATATACCACCTTTACAGAAAATATGCTTCGAATGAGGGTTCCATTCATTTGAATGTAGTACGTGGCCGTATTTACGTTCCAACGTGTTTTATTTACAGATGGGTGAATGTTGTATGTGTGGATGGATAGTCTTTTAAGTCTGTTTTGATGTGCCGTGACGTTGGAACGCGGAGTGAATTCAAAACAATGTTTTAAAGAAAAAGCGATATTTGGCCTGACTGTGTTTAAAATTTTATACCTTTTCCCCTTAGAATATAAGAATACATACTGGTTCATGTACTACATTACTCATTCTTAAAAAATTATTTCGATTTATGAGTATATTTCAGCAATGATATTTATTTGGTATATATTTTGATCGCGCAGAATACATTCTGAGTTTTCTAAGTTTAACATTTCCCGTTGTTTGTTTACATTAAGAATATTTGTTTATTTTAAAGATTGTTTTAGACCGTGCTTTTAAATAAATTATTTATTTTTCTCGGTAGGAATTGTCGTTAGTTTCGTGAATTTGTTTATTTAAAGATCGATTTAAGACAATTTTGTTAGAAAACGTACTGAATACAAAGCAATATTTAAAATTTAAAACAAAGGATAACTAAATAACCTTATATTTCTTGCAAATATTTTAAAGAAAAAGCGCCATTAATTGTGTCAAGAGATATAATGTCATTTTTAAAAATATTTATTAAAATATTCTTGAGAAAATTAAAGTCTGTTATTTACTTTAAAATAACGTGCCGAATTTCATATAATGTTCGCAAATAAATAAATAGTGTGCAAGACCTAGAAAGAACCTCTAAATTAAAAAAACATTTTTAACGAATTTAAATAATATACAGCATGAAATTTGTACAAGTATACTGAATGCTGCTTAACACTCGTGAGAAAATAAATTACTTTCTTTGAAAACTGCCCAAACAAGACATCTGAATACGGACATAATATTTCACAATAATTACGTTTCTTATTATGTTAAATTATTTTATTTCTTTAAATTTAATATTACTGCTTGTTTATTTTTCTTAGAAATATTTATTTGTTAGAGGTTGCTTTCAGGCAGTCTTTTTGATGAATTATTTATTTTCTGAATTCATACTATTTAATTTTAATTAGGTTTATTCTTTTAATTAAAGATTACTTTGAAGCTTTCTTATTTGAAAAAGTGTATTGAATACAAATTAATGTTGTAAAAGAAAACAAATAAATAATTTTTAAAAATATTAGTTAAAAAATAATGTTCAGATTCGGAAATATTCTTTAAGAAATTAAAATAAAATATTTTTTACTTTTGAGCAAATTATTGATTTTTCTAAATTTAATAAAATTGTAGTCATTAAATGTATTTGTTTATTTAAAAATTTTAATAGGCAATCTTTATAAAAAGAATATTTATTTTCTTTATGGATATTATATATTGTTCTAAATATAATGTTGTACAATTTTTTATCTTCCCCCCTTTTTTTATTATTTTAGGCAGTTTTTTATTTTTAGGCCGTATTGGTAAAATCCTAGTATACGGTTCAGCCTTGGCGCGATTTTGAAAATTTATCACCAACACCAAAATGACCCGTTTAACTACTCATCGTATATGTCCCGTTTACTGGTCATCATAAAGTCGCCAAAAGTAGCCAAATCCCTTGTGCACCGGATACTAGGATTAAACCTTTAAGTAAATTATTTATTTTTTTTGAAAATATTGGTTGGTACTGAGCACATTTTCTAAATACAATATAAATTTTCCTTAATATTTGTTGGTATACTTATATGTAACCTTTTAAAGAAGGTTATTTTCATTGCGAGTGTGAAGATTTATTCAGCATAATTTTGTAGATTTAGTATCGCACGTTATTTAATTTCTTTAAAAATAGTCTTTAATTTAAAGGCATTTTTTTGATAAATTATTTATTGTCAGATCAGTTATAGGGTACAACTGATTTTTTTTTTAATAGCGAGCGCAATCCATTTCGAGGTTTTCGAAACTACTAAAGCCAGAAATGGTGGCCATTTTATTATAGAGGCGGCCACTGTTCCCTTCTACATCATCCAAATTTTCAAATTTTTTGTCACTAAAAAAATGTTGTAGGGATCGGAATAAATGGAAATCCGAGGGTGCGATATCGGGCGAATAGGGTGGGTGAGGCAGTACCTCCCACCCCAGTTCATTATATTTTGTGTTCGTCTTGCACAGTGCGGTCTTGCATTATCGTGTTGCAGAATGACGCCTTTCCCGTTGACAATCGCCAGATATTTTTCGATTAAAAATTGGTTCTCTAGATCCAATTGTTCACAATAAAGGTCTGCATTAACAGTTTTTCCAGGTTTCAGCAATTCAAAATGAACCATTCCACTAATACTCCATCAAACACCCAGAAGCGCCTTTTCGGGATGTAACCCCTATTAAAACTGTCTTTTGGTTTTTGGATAGCATATAGGACTTATTTTTTTGTCTCCACTCATCAAACGACCAAAAAACGGTTCTGTAGGGTGCCGTTGCCGTTGAAGCAATACGTTGCATGTGATGGATAGGTTGGCTTTGTTCTTTTCGGACAGATTATGGGGTACTCAAACACCTGCTTTGCTTATTTTCCCATTCTGCTTTAAATGTTCTTGGATGGTCGACCAAGGTTGGTTAAGAGTGTTTGACATGGATTTGCTTGCACTTCTGCCCTTAGCATGTTGTTGTCGACATGCGCAGAAACATTACTTTCCGCTCCCCCTATTAGTACTACTTTCCCCTCCTTAAGATTATTTATTTTAGTCAAGCTTTAGGTGGGTTTATTTATTTGAATTTTGAGGATATTGATTTATATTTTTATAAATTAAGTAGTACTATTGATAATTCATTTCTTAAGGAATGGTTGCTTATTTAAAGATAGATTTTTAACTATATAATATTTAGGTAGCCTTTCAGGCAAATTATTCATATTCTTTATTAATACTGTTCGATATTCAACATTCTTTTCAAAATTTTGTTTTGCATATTATTCAGTTTCTTTAAAAGTGCCTGTTTCTTTAAAGAGTCTTTTATGCAGTCTTTTTCTAAGATATATTTATTTATTTATTTATTTTTGCTTATATTATTTGTATTCAGAGTATTTTTTTTTTTGTTTTTTTTTTTCCCAATTAGATAGATAGTAGACCTTTTAAATTTTTTTAAGAATATTTTATTTAACATTCGTGAAAATATTTGCTTATTTAGTTTTTTAAAGCAATTTTTTCCCCTCCTTACTGTAAATTATTATTAGTCCAAAGGGTCAATTTGCCCAGAAGGGCTATTAATTTCGTTTTGGCATTTTCCGTTGATTCACTAAAAACGGAGAATCACTTTTTAAATTGTTCCTACCAATTAATAGAGCCCTGTATTATATTCAAAGAAATTAAATAATGAAGAATTTGCATAAATGTATGTATGTCTCTCGCATTGTGATAAAACAACGGTACATAGAACCATCCAATTTTGAATGACGTACGTCAACGCTCGAATATTGGCATCTGGAAGCCCAAGTTTGGAATTTGTATTATTATCTATTTCATATTTTGTAAAGCATTTACGATTTTTTGATTAAGGAACTCAACGATTTCAAAACGAGCAATGGGAACACTGTACCAAAGAATCTCTAAGGAGAAGAATGAAAGCTTCCATATACGCAATGTAAACCTGTTTCGCCTCTGCGCCGCTGTACCGAAGAGCCACGGCTATGCAGTGAAACACCAGCGCAGGGTGAAATTTAAACAGCGCAGTTCGAGGAGATAGTGAATTTTTTACTTTGAAATAAACTCAAAATATTTTATTTTCATACATTTATGGAGCTTTATGAGCAAAAGGATGTTAGTTGGAATTTTGGGGCGAATTATAGAAATCCTAGTCCAATTTTTACTTTGAATTTTAAACAGCGAGCCATACGAAGACAAAATTTAAAAGAAATAAATTTCTTAATTTTCTTTTCTTTTTCTTCTGTAAACTTGAAAAGGGGGGGGAAACACATGCCATACAAAACGTATCTTTGACTGTACGGGGGGGACATTTTTATGAATCCATCTTCCAGCGCGCGAGACTGTGTACCGGAAATTCTAAAGATACGCTCTTTTAAATATTTTGTGATACTGCTGTTGAATGATTGAATTTTATGATTTAAGTGCGAAGAACGTTTAGAGTAATAAAGGTAACACACAAAAACGGAAGGGGAAAAAAAAAAAAAAAAAAAAAAAAAAAAAAAAAAAAACCCACCTATGGGCGTAATATAAATTCTGAAAGGTTTCAGATTTTATATTATCTACTATTATTATATTTTATATGTTATTTATATTATCACTTAATATCCGCAGCGTGTATGATAACTATGGAATTTTTACTTCTCCTAGAAGTTAATTTCAAATGATGATGCTATAGTCGTGAACAATTCTCTGACAAATCGAGTAAATGAACGCGTGAAACTCTGACAAGAGGCTAATGTCACTGCTAATGCCGGAAATAATTACCAAAGGAAACAATAATTAAAGTGGGGAACTTGAGCTCATTCATTTCATTATATTTTAAAACTAACATCAAAACAGTTCGCACAACACAAGTCACAAAATTAGATCACAATTACAAAGGTTTATAACACCTTATTGATTTTATTGTTGCAATCTTAAAATTTGCAGTTTAAGATATATAAAAATAGCAGCTTCCCTTTTTTCCAAAATAAAAGTGTTAACATATAGGATTCCATTTTAAATTGCTTTACAAATCATTGCCATCCTCTCTTTAACAGAAAGAATAATTAAACAATTTGGTATTTTTTAGCGTTTTCGAATATTGATTAAGTATTTTTGTATATTAACAGTTCGTACAAACGTTGTGAATGAATATCTCAGAAGAGTAAAAAAAAATTAAAAAATTTTTAACCTTTTTCACAACTCTAAGGATCTCTGGATATCTCCAATTTACATCCTAAATATAAATAGTGTAGCGAATATATAAAAAATAT